CCTCTGCCTCCCAGGTTCAGGAGAATTGCTTGAACCCGGGAGGCGGAGGTTGCAGTGAGCTGAGATTGCACCGTTGCACTCCAGCATGGGAGACAGAGCAAGACTCCATCTCAAAAAAGAAGAAAAAAAGAAAACAATATTGTGAAAGCCAGTCTGGTGGTTGCACAGGGCTGAAGGTGTGGCCAGCATAGGAGAATAGGTTGGAAAAGGCCTTGTGAGCTGGTTTCTGAAGACCCCTTAGGGCTGAGCTAGGTTTGTAGGAAACATAGCTGCTAAGCATTGTTGGACAGGGAGGGGACAGCTGCACTGTTGGGCCCTGGATAGGCAGGTGGTGGCAGAAATGGAAAGGCAGACCAGATGTGAAGGAGAGAGTCCCTGTCACCCTTCTAAGACCCTGAACAAGAGTTGGGCAGGGTGGGGGGGCAGAGGAGGCTCCCACACCCCTCTCCTCCATGGCCTCCATAGCCTGCTCCTTTCTGCAGGTGACCCTGTCCAAGAGCGGCCACCAAGCATTCCCCTGCCCAGCCCCTCCATTACCTTCCACCTGTGGACCGGCAAGGAGCAGCTCTGTAAGTGCCCATGCAGCTGGCTGGAAACAGTGGTATATGTCTGTGTCCATGTGTATGTATGCATGCATGTGTCTCTGTGTGTGTGTGCATGTGTGTCTGTCTGTAGATGAGTGTATGCTTCTGTGTCTGTGTGTGTGATGTGTATTGTGTGTCTGTGTTCATGTGAGTGTCTGTGCGTGTGTGCATGTGTGTATGTCTGTGTCTGTAGATGTGTGTATGCATCTGTAAGTATATCTTTGTGTGCATGTGTGTGCATGTGTCTATGTGTGCATGTGTCTGTGTGTGTGTGCATCTATGTGTGCATGTATGTCTGTGTCTATAGATGTGTGTATGTATCTGTGTGTCTGTGTGTAAGTGTGGATGTGTGTCCTCATGTGTCTGTGTGTGTGTGTCTGTGTTTCTGTGCATGTGTATCCTCTGAGGAGAACTGGCTGAAATCAGGAATGTAGCCTGCCAGCCTCACATGTCCTCACCACCCTTGTTCCCCCATCCCAGGGAAGGAACTGGTGCTCTTCCTCCGCCCAAGATCCCAGCTGCGCCTCAGTACTGACTTGGAGGTCTTGGATCTGCAGGGCATCCGGCCAGACCGGGAGTTGGCCCGGGTGTCTGTGCTGTCCACTGACAGTGGCATCGAGCGGGACCTTCCCCTGGGGGCTGATGAGCTACCTGCATCCAGCAGCCCCGAGATAGAGCGAGCTGGGCTGCAGCGCAAAGGAGGCATTAAGAAGCGTGTGTGGCCCCTGGACTTCTTGATGCCTGGCAGCTGGGACGGGCCCCCAGGGCTGCACCGGAGAACAGGCAGGCCCGGTGGGGATGGGGAAGTGCTTCCTGGTGTCTCTCGGCTGCACACAGCCCGGGTACTTGTGCTGGGAGACGACAGAATGCTGGGGCGCCTGGCCCAGGCCTACCACAGACTCAGGTGGGGCCCCAAGGTGGGGGTTGGGGAGTGGGCGCTGGTCAGGGCACAGGTGGGCTTTGCATCAGCTGGTGAAGAATCATAGGGTGGCAAAAGAGGTCAGGAGGCAGAGGCCAGGGTGGGACAGAAAAGGATGCTGTGCAGTGCTGCGTAGCCATCACAGAGCACCCAATCACTGCTTTATGTTCGTTAGTTCCGTGAACCCTTACCAGCCTTCGAGGGAGACATTACTGTACCCATTTTATAGATGAGAAAGCAGAGGCTCAGAAAGATGACACAGATTGTCCAAGGCCAAGAGATAACACATAGCAGAGCCAAGTCTGTTAGAAGCCAAGCCCCGCCCCTAACCTCCTCTGCTTTGCTGTTCGTTGCTAGGAAACGGGAGACCCAGAAGTTCTGCCTCACTCCCAGACTCAGCCTGCAGCTCTACTACATCCCAGTGCTGGCGCCTGAGGTGACTAGACCGTGGGGAAGCAGTGGCGGGGCAGAGACAGGGCAGGCTGGGCAGGGACACACCTGCAGCCTCCCATCCCCCACATCCCCAGCTCAGGGACTAGAATCAGCATCCTTAGAATGTGGAGGTGGGAGAGGCCAGCTGGGCAACATGGTGAAACCCCATCTCTATTAAAAATACACAAAATTAGCTGGGTGTGATGGTGGGCACCTGTAATCCCAGCTACTTGGGAGGCTGAGGTAGGAGAATCGCTTGAACCCGGAAGGTGGAGGTTGCAGTGAGTCAACATCACACCACTGCATTCCAGCCTGAGCGACAAGAGCAGAACTCCGTGTAAAAAAAAGAAAAAAGAAGGTAGAGGTGGGAGAGGTGTCACCAGGATTCTATTTTGGAGGCTGCAGATGGTGCTCTGGGGGCTGAATGTGCCCAGAGATTGGGTCTCTCTCTTGTTGGCAGGCTTTTTGTTTTGTTTTTGTATGTAACAGCATTAGTTGCAAACTTTTCAAACACAGGACTGACTCACTCTCTCTCTCTCTCTCTCTCTCTCTCTCTCTCTCTCTCTCTCTCTCCCTCTCTCCCTCCCTCCCTCCCTCTCCTCTCCTCTCCCCTCTCTCATATACACACATACACACACACACCACACCTTCTGGTCCGACACAAGGAAATTTCAGGCAGTGAAGTCCATAAATCCAGTTGTGGGGACATAGGTCTTACTTCCTACTGCACATTGTCTCTCCCCGTTTAAGGCTGGTGATCATTTTTCAATGTCCCTGGTGAATGGACCTCAGCAAAAGATATTCTAGCTTCATCTGAGTTTATAAGACAGAACAACAATGCATCTTCACATGCAGAAATTGAGACCCCAAGAGATTAAATGACTTGGCCATATTCACACAGCCTAGGCTGATGGCAGCTGGAAAGCAGAGCTGGAAGAGAGGACCTGACGTGTCTGCCCCATCTCCTTTCTCCCAGAAGCCTGCAGCATCCAGGCAGCCAGAGCTGGGAGAGCTGGCTGCATTCCTGGGCCGCGTAGACCCATGGTACCAGAGCACCATCAATACACTGTGCCCCGCCATCCACAAGCTGGCTGAGATGGTAGGGGAGGGTGAGGTACCACGGAGGGAAAGAGGGAGGGGCATGGAGTCTGGGCAGAGGGGAGGATGGAAGAGCCCAAGTGGGCAGAGAGGGTGGGATGGGGGTGACAGCAGGCTATCTTTTCGCACTTGACCCTTGACCTCAAGAGTCCAGTGAGATGAGGCGGGAAGGAAATGAGAGATAGGGGTCCTAACCAGCTAGTGGCTTTGAACTGACTTGTAACACTTACCAGATGCTTACTCTGGATTGGACCACTGTGGAAAAGACTAAGTAAAATATTCTTTCATAAGTGTGTAGGGCAATTATACTCCTTCTTGTATGAGCTTCCTGTGATCCTTTTTATCATTTTTTTTTTTAATTTAAGTTCTGGGACACATGTGCAGAATGTGCAGGTCTGTTACCCAGGTATACATGTGCCATGGTGGTTTGCTGCACCTATCAACCAGTCATCTAGGTTTTAAGCCCTGCATGCATTAGGTATTTGTCCTAATGCTCTCTCTCCCCTTGCCCCTGACCCCCTGACAGGCCCTGGTATGTGATGTTCCCCTCCTTGCATCCATGTGTTCTTATCGTTCAACTCCTACTTATGAGTGAGAACATGCAATATTTGGTGTTCTGTTCCTGTGTTAGTTTGTGAGAATGATGGTTTCCAGCTTTGTCCATGTCCCTGCAAAGGACATGAACTCATTCTTTTTTATGGCTGCATAGTAGTTCATGGTGCATATGTGCCACAATTTCTTTATCTAGTCTATCATTGATGGGCATTTGGGTTGGTCCCAAGTCTTCACTATTATAAATAGTGCTGCAATAAACATACGCGTGAATGTGTCTTTATAGTAGAATGGATCCTTTTTCTACGATTGTAATAGCTGATGTTTCCGGAGCACTTATGCTGTATTGGGTACTGTTCTAAACACTTACACACAGGGCAGCTCATTTAATTCCCACAGCAGCCCAGAGGCAGGTGCCCCTGTTGGTAGGTACTATTGTCACGATAGCCCCATTTTACAGATCAAGCAGCTGAGACACAAAGAGATTAGGTATCCTGCCTGAAGTCACAAAATGAGTGCTAGAGCACCACTTGGAACCAGGCAGTTTGACTCCAGAGCACACTCTCCTAACCGCAAACCCATGGTGTCGCACTCTCTCCATGGCTGGCGGTGGGGAGGGAACTCATCTTTTACCGATTTGAAAGGGCTTTTATATAGTAAGAGAATTTTACCTTTTTTGTCGTCAATATGTTGCAGATTTTTTTCCCATGGTTGTAACTTGCCTATCCATTTTCTGACTTGCAGAAGTTTAATACTTGTATGCAGTCAGACATAGCACTTTCATTCTTTACGGTTTCTGCCTTTGGAGTGATACTTTCAAAAGCTTAAATAGATATTCACTGATATACTCTAACACTTTCCACGTCTCAATTTTTACATTTAATTGCCTATCTGCAATTAATTTTAGTGTTTAGTGTGAAGTATGTCATTTTATCTTTTCCAAACAGGTTTTGTCCACTTCTCACTAAATTTATTACTTACGTGTGATAGTGTTCCTTGCTTTTGCGAATGATATCGTTATCCCATTATATTTGGGTAGTACCTGCTGCTAATATGAAAGGAAGCCGTTGATTCATACATATTTATTTTAGTTTTAAAGACTATGGTAAAAATGTAACATAAATTTACCACTTTACATGTCTATTTTTTAACTTGCACTTTGAAAGTTATCAAAAGGCTTTTTGTACAGAATGCACTTTGCAAGTTAAAAAATAGACATGTAAAGTGGTAAATTTAT